CCGAGGCCTGCAAGTGCCCAAAAACCACTCGCAGTCACGACAAGAACCGGAACCGCTATCCTTGCCCATCTACGCCTTTCCAATCTCAGTCACTGACGCTACGAAGCTATACTCACAGCGCGGGACAGACCGGCAATGGCATTCGCGCATTGCGTTCATAGCAGCTGTGCAGGTGCTCTTGGACCCCGTGGAGAATCCCAAGCTTTTCGGGTTGGAGATGGACCCGTCCGCTTTTGCAATGCAACTCGAGTTAGCTGAACAGTTTGCCCAGTTCAAGGCGCCCATCACAGTCATAGTACTTAACTCGCCTCCCGAAGAACAGGGTTTCAGGCACAGGAAGCCATCAAATGTCCCACATGAGGTGCAGTCCTTCAAAGCCTGCTATTCTAAACTCGGAAACTCGACAAAAATCTGAAGAACTCTTCAGGGCCTCATGGAGGAGTCTGATGATTTGGCACCTCATGGATCATGGAACTTAGGGGTCTACAAATACTTGCAAGTATAGTAACTTTCGTTGTGGCTGTGACTCTAGTTAACATTATATCCCAAGATTTTTTAGCGAACAAACAAATGGCAGCCATAATGCTGGCGGTTCGTCAAAGTTGCACCGAACTCTCTTCAGGACCTAGCACTCCTGTGCGTGCGATGTGCATCTCTGGAGATGCTGCGGGATCTGCGCGACGAGGGGCTCCTGCCAGATGTGCCACTGGGCCCGTGGCTTCAGGGTGTTCAGGTGGTGGAGGGGTTGGAGCGTTTAGGGCTGAGAGACTCAGTGTTGGGTTTGGGGTCTTTCGCTCACGGTTGATTCTGTATATTCTGTGGGGCCATTTCGAAGACTTGCGCCAAGAGGGGCAAAGAGTCGCACGGGGGTGCAGTCATGTCTGGAAAAGCCTAGGAGCACAAATACTTGGCGGCGGGCCCTGGGGGGTACATGGGATTAAGCTCTGCCAGAGCTTGTGGTGTTGGCAGACAGCTTGTCATTGAAATCCGAGTTCTGTGATCAAGGAACTATGCAGCAGCTTTGACTCCAGACATCACGCCGGTTTTCTTTCCTTGGAAGGCCTTGCAGCGACCGTAACGGTAGAGCCACTTCTTGGCGCTCTGAAGCCCGTGCCTGACCCTGCCAAGCCATGTGGCGAGCTCGAGCTAAATCCCATAAGCAGGGCAGGGTGACTTGCTGACGTGTATCTTTCAGACATGAAAGTTGCCTCCACGCCGATCAGGTGGAGGAACGGACGTTGACGGAGCCGCTGTGGGCCTGGGAGGGCAGCGGCGCTTGGAAGGGCTGTAAGGGCAGCAGGAAAGTCGCTGAAAGCCATGTGACATGAATTTGTGGTGATGACCCTGACAGCTGCGTCGCGGTCACCGCCGCCAACTCTGAAGCTCCTTTCGGCTGTCACCAGGTCTGGCACCTCTCCACCTGGCGCTGCTGCTGGGAAGGAACGACGTGGCCTTGCTCTTGGTGAGGCACCCGATGTCTCACGGTTTGTTGGCTTCTGTTTTCGGGTGGTTGAAGGTTTTGATGGATTTAGATCCTAATTGCAGGCTGGTGTTTCCAGAGCTTGGGATTCCAGTCTGACTTGGGCGCACCAGCTTCGTAATGCAGCATTAGACGCATGTGGCAATGGAATCGTGCTGCGGTTGCCCTGAGCAGCTCGCAAAATGTGAGGTGTGGGCTGCACGACGACTCACAAGCCCTTCAAGCTGAACCCAACATCCCGGACTCGAGTAATCGAGCATCAACCGCAAGAACGGCCAGGGTACAGCATTTCTAGGACGAAATCGCGCAGGCTTGGCGCCAACCTTCTGCAGCCAGTCGACCATGTTGCCATCGAGGCCACTTCACAGACCTTCCAGGTCTGCGGGCATTGTTGCATTCAGAAATTCAGGCAGTCCGTGGCAGCCAGTTTGCCATTTAGCTCTGCAGCCAACAGGCTCCATGGCACTACTCGGTCACGGACAACTGTTTCAGAGGCACTGGTGGGGGGTTCAAGGACTCTGGTTCCTTGAATGAGAGCTGCCAACCTACTCAGGCATTAACTCCATTGCATAATCAAGCAAAGGGCACTTGGTATTCGGTTCGGGCTCGGAGTTGCAGCAACCCTTCTGAGAGACCAGACGGAAGCTTGGGAGGTTTGACCCCGTTGCATCTGTGCGCCTTGCTGGATCAGAAGGCAGGTCGGGCGGACCCGAAGCTCCCTCTGTGACTCTGTGGTACCTCCCGGTTGTGCCGCAGAAAGGGCCCATTGTCTGTACATTCGCGTCTCTTCGGAACCCCAGCTTCTCCGGAAGGCCACTGCTTCAGCACTCTTGGGAGAGGCGAGTGGTGATGCGCCCTGGGCATGCAGAATGCTGGCATGGATCATCCTCAAGAGCCGCACCGGTCAGGAATGCTCGCGCATGCCGTGTGTACGTGTGCGAAATGACGGAATTAGCAGCAACAAAGCCGTGTCAAGGTCGATCGAAACTAAACTGTGTGTCTTGTTGGGATGTGGTGCGCACCCGGCAGAGCTTTAGGCGTAGACTCGCCTGGTCTCATCCAGTCAATGTCAAGTCGTAGTCTTTTGCTACATTCCTGATAAAGGTGCCGTTCGTCTTCCCAGGAGAGAAGCGGGCACCGCAGTACAAGGATGGGATGGGGCAAAGTAGCCATCCCTGCACACGCACGCCAACACTACATGTCCCCACCAACTCGAGCACCCGTTACGATGGCCCACACCTTCCAGCATAGCCCTGCAGCTCAGCCTCGGTTGCAGGAAATGCTCGGCGCCGTGTGCCGCCATGTCTGGGCAACCCTCGACTCCAAGAAGGGCTCGGACGAGGTGCGGATGCCATACAAGCGAATTTGCTCCGCGAGGTGTAGCCCTCCGATTGGTGTTGCACGTTGCACATCTTTCTCTTGGGATTACTGCTAGTCTTTTTATTGCGACATTTTTCCCTTACTGAAAGCCCTGTTCCAGGAGGAGCCTTGGCTTTGGCGCGACGTCACGCCACTTCACCTCGCGCTGCTTTACAAGAGCCGCATGGCCTTGAGAGGTGGAACATAGCTCTTCAAGTTCTTTGGTTTCACGACGTTAAGAAGAGTAAGCTTGGAGCAAGAAGAGTATACCTGTGCCTGCCTACCGCAGATCACAGAAGGCTGACTCCATGAACAGCGTCTGCCTGCTTCGCCCGCGTGCTCAGTGCAAGCGAAGCCCAGGTTACGAGACAGCGGAAGCCCTTATCGAGGTGGAGAACACGCCAAACCCCATGTTTCCACACGTGTGACCGTTGATACAATCGTTATGCTGCTGTGCTGCTTGTCGTTTCGAGAAGTTGAAGCCTAGCCTCGGGAGGCATCAACACCTGACACGTTGGATATTCTCTGCAGCTGCAAGGAGCTGCAATGCAATGCCAGCGGTTCAGAATTGCCTTGGGAAGGGGATGTACTGACATGTACTCCTCGGTGAGGACGTGGAGAACGACTCAGAGACTTCGCGCCATGGCACAGCTTTCCATTCGAGTGGTCCATAGAGGGCCTTTTGCTAGCATAGCCGAAGCCCAGCATACAGGCATCCTTGTCTTAGATACTGTAGCAGATAGATAGATCCTCACGTCAGGCTTGCAACTTTCCCTCTCAGCTTGGCAGCTCTGGCAGCTGTTGACATTGAAGCCTTGAGCCTCATGCATAAAAGGCGAAGCTGCGTTCGTAAGATCCGGATGGTTCAGGTTGGATCGCACATGTAGGCCGAAAAACTTTGGGCCTGTGAATGTCCTTGCAGAGCGCCGCCATCCGAGGTTCAGTGCCCTCCTCCTCGCCTTCGAACATCGTCAGAAGGCCAGACGAAGATTGATGAGTCTTTGGCCTGACTCCTGAAAATGCCTTCAAAGGCACTTCATCGCCAGATCGCGAAGAGGCAGCCAGCGCGGAGTTACGTTTGCCCTTCCACCGGAAGGAAGTGATGGTGACAGGTGAGGCTTGTAGAAGTACCTGTGATCCCGCATCTTCCAGGGTGGGAGCGCAACTCATGCATGCATTGCTTTGTTAGCAGATCGGCTGCAGACGCCATCCACTAGATACCATATTCGTTCCGGTCCTTTCCCATTCCAGGTGCTGCTGATGGTGAGTGAGATGACTCTCGGAATGGAGCCCAGAGTATATGTTGGCCTTGCCAAACTGGACCGATGCAAAACCACTTCACATCTTCAGCATCGTGCAGTGCACAATGATGGATCGGAGACGAAACCCAAAGTAGTTTACACCTGTTGGATCTGGCCCAATGTGGCCTCTTTCAAGGTACCTCACGTGTCACGTGGCTTCCACAGAGCTGAACACACAGCTTCACGCCAAAAGGGCGACAAGTGCTGGAAGCCAAAACGCTCTGCAGGGCTTAGACATAGTCGTCAAGCTAGCAAAGACTTGCTAAGCGGCCGTATGATAGTTGGAAGATAGCATTTCGGAATTTTGGATTTGGAATTGCGGAGCATACTGGAGTTGGCCTGTATACACTGATTTCGAGCCAAGTTTGGGGCAGACTACCAAACACTTGCGATTGTGTGAGCACGAAACCGGAAAACGTTGCTGAAGCACCTAGATGTTGAGCCGGGTTTGCAGAGGGCGAAAAACCCTAAGCAAACCCTTGTTTGGCGGTGTGGTGATGAGGGCCAAACTCGAAGATTGTGCAACGAACAAGTAAGCCTGATTTCAAGGGAAGCCTCTCCAGCCATTTGGGATGATGAAGCCCTTGACTTGGGAAGTCTTGAGCTTCGCAGGCCTTGGAGCAGTTTGGGTTTCGTGGCCAACGCACATCTTCACAACCGAGCCATCATCAGGCCGAGTTACTGGCCACCTCAGCAGAAAAAGCCAAGCATGCCGTGCGATGAAGATCGCCTGAGCTCTTTATCTGGCCTGGTCTGCCTTGACGCGTTGCACTTCTGAATCCGCCTCAGACTCCCAGATGGCCACAAAACTGTAACAACTTTTTCCCCTGCCCGCTCTGAGCAGCCACCCCGGGAGCCCAATGCCGCCCTTCTGGGCTGCAGGGCCAAAGGCCAGGCGGGTTCATCTCGGTTTTATCCGGAAGGGTGATGCGGGGATCTTTGAAGGGATCAGAACTGGTTCAGTTGAGATGCTCACTGTGTTCAGCGGTTGGAGAAAGCCCACGCGGTGAGGCGGGGGAAAGCTTGTTGAGAGAAGAGAGAAGACAGTGACAGGCCACTTGAGATGGAGGTTCGGCGTTTTGGCCGCTTCCACCAGACTTTCTGTTCTGTTGTAAAGCTAGCTAACTAGTTGCCTCAGACGGGTAGACTCATAGTTGATACTACAGATTGCGGCATCGAGCTCGACACGGGAAGCTTGCCTTGACAATTGGTACACAAATGGTGAGAAGTTCCATGGAGTGTGCCAGTACCTTTGTTTGCTGCAGTTCTACAGGTGCTGTTTGTCACGTTGGACAGAAGAGGGTTAGGCAATCGGTGACATACTGTCACTGTCGTCCCTTTCAAGCAATTCGAAACCGCAGCCGGCCCTTACTTAGCGCGATGCACAGCTGAATCTTTCGGCCTTTCGACAGGAAGAGCCCAGCGCGGTACTGCTCGAGGACTACGCAGAGGACCCGGACGCAAAGACGCGGCCACCGTGGGATTCTCAAAGACTTCCCCACAATCACCGGGTGTTGGAGGAGAAGGGATAGCTATTCTTAAACACTGGTCATCAAGGTTGGGGCGCGTTATGGCCTGTGGCAACAGGCAACACCAAGTTGAGAAACCACGCGGTTGGCCCGCAGTGTTTAGTGTTTGGAGTAGTTTGGCGACCTTTGCCCTTCTTTGGAAGCAGACCGCTCCGACCTGCATCGGGAATGGGGGTTGACCACTCAAGGTTTCTGCGAGTAAAAAACCGATGGCTGCTGTGGTTGATGCGATCGGCGAAGCCGACAAAAGCCCCAAAGAAGCTGCAGATATGCGGCAGCAAGAACAGTTGCAATACTTGTTGTTTGTCGTATGGTTTACACCTATGTACATGTGTGTACTCTATATATATATATATATACATACACACACGTGCATACCTGCGTATATATGTGCATGTGTATTTACATTATATGTACATATGTAAATTATAGGTAAATAGATAGATGTACGTGCATATGCCGTCTTCCGTGTCAACCTTTGTCTCCAAGAACAGCTCATGCAGCTCTCAGGCCTTCTCGAAGTAGCAGGGCGGCCTTTGCGGCAACGGCAGCACCGCGACGCCAGGCAGGTATGCAAGTGTAGGACTGTGCGTTAAGGCAAGCTCGTCAGTGAACAAAAGCTTGGGTGTCACAGGAGTCGAGTTTGAGTGACAAGACACTTATGAGCGTTTACACTGACGAGGGTTCGGTGTCTGCCATGAGTACGTAGTCAGTGTGGAACTCGTGCCAGGAGCAGTTCGGAGCATTTGTCGGCATAGTGAAGCTGAGTTCGGAGTTCGGCTTCTGCAAACGGGGATAAGTGTGCCGGGTGTTGACTCAGCGGCATACAAGCGATGTGGTGCTATGCTGCTATGCCAGAAGGAAGAGGCTCCTGGCAGAATTCATGATCCATTCTTTCAGGGGCCATGGCAGGATTGCTGTCGGACTGTTTAGAACCACAACTCCGAGCTTGGCTTGACAAGGGAAGCGCTCGCTATTCGGCCATGTTGCATGACAGTAGATGCAGAACTACCCCTTGACTGCATTTCGCACTTACATCGGACAGGATCGCAATACACTGCCTGCAGCTGTGGTGAAGACGGATCCACGGCGGGAGCGTGAATTTGCAAACCGGCAGTGGCCTCTGCCAGTAGCATGACGTGGAAGGCTTTCGAGTCGCCGGGATCAAGCAGAATGCTGCGCGAAGTTTGGTGGATATCGATCTATTTAGGGTTTTTGACGGGATTTCGGCCTGTTGCCACCCTTTCTGCTCTTCTTTGTATTTGGGCAGGCTCCGCAGGATCCTGCCTGTCAACCTCTCTGGGTCCTGCGATCATATGCCAAATGAGCTGACTTCTACTTCAAACCCAGATGCCACTTGCTGCTTCCGATTCCCGTTGCTGTAAGGCTTGGCCTATCTTGGCCTTGCCAGCCTTCAAAGACGTTACGACGGTCGTAGGAGTCAAGATGCTTGGCGTGATCACTGGGCACGAAAGACCGGGAAAACCTGCACAGACCTGATGTGGGGCATTTCGTCTGATATCCAAACCTTCAACCTCAGCCACACCGCTTTCGCGCCAATGCCGTACTAGCCTGCATGGTTTGGAGCCATGCGCTGCGCACTGGCATCGCAGCTGCGAAGCACAGGCGACCGACTGCAAGGTCGCATTGTCAGCGCCAGCTCGATGAAATCGTCCCTTAGACCCGCAGAACCAACTGCCAAAAAACACCCGAAGCCAGAAGCATCCAGTAGCCTTCAGTTTTGTAGAGCCGACTGTCTTGCCTTCAGCTGCCGGGCGCCCGACGAGTCCCCGGAGACTGCAGCCTACCCGTGAGGCCCAGAAATCCGGGGAAGTTTTCGAAGGTTCGAACGACGGGCTTTCAAGATTCCGGGGCTTCAGATTCGAGCTGAGAATCAGCTTTCTGCTTAAATTCACAGCACTAGATCTCGGGACGCTCTCGGAAGGTTGATCATAAGCATCTCTTTGCACTGTCAAGGTTCATCAAGGCTTTGCAGCAGCCCGTGCTCGAAACATACTTAAGCTTTCTACTTATCAATGCTTCGCCCCATGTGCGGGTCCTCTCCCTCTTCTCAGGCCCGCATCTGCAACCAGCAGAGTGAGCGACTCCATCATGCCGACGTTGGAAGCTGCCGCGACCAAGACAGCTCACGAAGTCTGATCTGCGACTCGTGGGATCCTTGGTGCCATCTGCAATCCTGTCAGTGTCCGTTCTCCCTCCGCAGCTGATGACACTGCAACATCTACCAGCGAGCCTGCTGCTACGCACAGGCAGTCTCGCGGCGGGTGAGATGTTGCAGCTTTGGTAAGTCTTGCACACAGCTAGTCTAGAACCGAGCCGCTCAGGTGCTGCACCGAAAAGGTCACAGCGATGGTTCCCCGGCGGCATTGTCAGGGTTTTGATGGGTTCAGGGATGCACACTCTTGCCGCGCCTAGGGGGCCGGGATGGAGGCTTGTGAAAGGGCAGAAGTTAGAAAAATCGTTGAAGCTCTTGCAAACCTCCCTCATCAGCTTCCTCGTCAGTGAGGCTTCACCTGTCGCAGTTTGGCTGTTGCGTAGCTCAGGACTTGACTTCTGCACTGGAGATCCGTTTGCATGAGGCGGGACTGCACCCAGTTGAAATGTAAAGTGTGACAAATCGCGTCCAAGAACTACTGAACAGATTCAAAGCTCATAAAATCTCCGTGCCCGCGCAGTTTGTTTCGCCAATGAACCTCCGGCATCTGATCCGTTGCTCGACAAGAACAGGCTGAGCGGCGAATTACCGTGCTACTTCGCAACGCATCCACCTCAGCTCCCGAAGTGCCTCAGGGATGTCCCGTTCATCCTTGAAACTGCTCAGGTGAAGTTCGTGGAAGAGCCTTGCCCCTAGCAAATCCGGACGTGTCGTGCAGCGCCTGGTGTTGCGGTCAATCCTGCAGTTCTTGTGACGATCTTGACACATGAAGCTGTACAAGGTTTCGCCACCTCTGCCGAAAGGACCCGACTCAGCAGCAGAGCTTTCAGCTTCAGGCCACCACAATCTGAGCTCCAATTGCCGGTGAGCCACAGGAGCGACACGAGCGAGAGTGCGAGTGGGAAACAATCGGCTCCGTCGTGGTGCAACCGCCTTCCACGCCAAGGACCGTCGGCGTTGAGAGAAACGTGTTCACTGCTAGGACTTGGCTTTAGTCTTCAACAGTTTTAGACATGAGCAGATTTTCAAGATCAGCCCCAAATCCTGAAGCTAAACACTAGTCATGGTAAGTTTGGATTCTATATAGTCTTTATGGTTGCAGGTCTCAAGTGACCGCACGTCTTTAGGCCGGCTTCGACCCGACCCGGCTGCGCTGCCGTCGCCAGGGAGGCAAGAGCTGCCCCAATGAGTGTGTCAGATGGGCGCATAAAAGCCATGACATCACCATACTGTAGGCGGCTCCCGCGGCGGCTCAAGTCGAGGCTTTGGAGGCTACTGGTACCAGCTGGAGGGTTTTCTGGGTGTTTCAGGCGTGCTTGTGCAGCTTGGGCAGGCTCGCGTGGCCAAGTTAGAGACACTCGACTTCGAGGGACGGAAGGCCAGGTCGAAGTTGTTGAAACAGTGCTGAAGCAGAGTCTTGCAGAGCTGCCGGTTTCAGGAAGTCTCGGCTGTGAAGAACACGGCCGAGGCTTTGGATGCAGCCTGGCTTGCATCCATGCAGGGCAAGCAGTAGAGTGATCGTGCGGCTGCGCACCTTGACCTTGCTGCCATCGCTTTTCCCGCGCACTGCCCGAGTTTAGAGTGGCGACGCTGGAAGCCATGGACATCAGCCTCAAGGCCTGGTCTTCGAGCACCAAACCCCCTCAGGGCCCCTCAGGAAGCACATGTGCCACGTCCCCGGTTTTTGTGTCTCGGACCGAGCAGCCGCAGATTCTGGTTCCACTTATTTGGACGGCTCGAGTTCTTCGCTAGTTTCGTGGAACTTGCCTGACAAGTCTTGAGCCCGAATCACCAACAGGCCAATGATGTGGAGATGATGCTGTTCCAGGGCAGTCTGGCAACCTTAAGGCAACATGGTTGCAGGTCATGTAGATGTTAGATGAGTTTGGTAGAGTCTTAGAGTGGAGTCGTGAATGCAGGGCTTGGCACAGAAGTCTAGGTGTGTGTGCCACGGCGGTTGACGTCCGGTGTCGCTGGACGCATGCCACATGTAGCTACAAGTTGCGAAGTGGTGACAGCGACGGTAGGAAACGACTGGTAGAACGTCAGCGGTTGGGATGTCGTCAGGCATAGCCGAGCCAACCAGCTGCCCTCGTGCTCCGCTCATCTCACTCGTTCTGTTCTTCGCAGGCAGCTACAACAGATGCCGCTGCAACAGGTTCGGAGCTCGTGCTTGGTTTTCCTTCGCTAGTTTTAGATTCCCTGGCAGCCGCTCGTATTATCATAAGTTATAGTTGGTACATTGTCATAGAGCACATTATACTATGATAGAGTAGGTTATAGCGTAATAGATATTGTACTATACTATAATGTATCACAATGTGTTATACGGTAATATCGTACATTGTACTGCAAGATTCTCTCCCTTTGCAGCCCCAATGAAACTGGTGTCCGAAGAGTGCGCGGCGAGGCCCTCGGCTCCGTTCGGGTGCAAGCTCCTACCACAGCAAGGCTCACTCGAATTCTACGGGGTGCCAAAAGGAAGTGAAAAAGGGCCTTCATGACCTGCAGGGCAGAGCTTCCGATGTTTTCTGGCCAAGCCACAAACGGAAGGTTTCGGAGAAGGTTGGAGAGTCGCCAGGTGTTTGAAGCTAGTCTGCAGTTCCCAGGGGTTGAGAGTGGTTGGGGTCAGGGGCTGAGCATAGGTTGCTTAAGTTGTGAATGCTGGTATACCGGAGTCCTTGAGGCCAGTGCTCTTGCGTGTGCCAAAGCTCCGTGGGAACCGCACGTCTTTAGGCCGGCTTCGACCCGACCCGGCTGCGCTGCCGTCGCCAGGGAGGCAAGAGCTGCCCCAATGTGTGTGTCAGATGGGCGCATAAAAGCCATGACATCACCATACTGTAGGCGGCTCCCGCGGCGGCTCAAGTCGAGGCTTTGGAGGCTACTGGTACCAGCTGGAGGGTTTTCTGGGTGTTTCAGGCGTGCTTGTGCAGCTTGGGCAGGCTCGCGTGGCCAAGTTAGAGACACTCGACTTCGAGGGACGGAAGGCCAGGTCGAAGTTGTTGAAACAGTGCTGAAGCAGAGTCTTGCAGAGCTGCCGGTTTCAGGAAGTCTCGGCTGTGAAGAACACGGCCGAGGCTTTGGATGCAGCCTGGCTTGCATCCATGCAGGGCAAGCAGTAGAGTGATCGTGCGGCTGCGCACCTTGACCTTGCTGCCATCGCTTTTCCCGCGCACTGCCCGAGTTTAGAGTGGCGACGCTGGAAGCCATGGACATCAGCCTCAAGGCACTCATGCTCGTGCCGGTAATCAGATCGTCGAGTTGGAATGTAGAACACCGAGGAGTCCTGCAGGCTCGGCCAAGCCCAGAAACATGACCAGCTGACTAGCTTGGGGTGAACTGACTTGGGGACTCCGAGACATCTTCTGGCTTCTTCAATCTTCCGAACCCTGTGCCGAAAGTCCGGCGAGGCGCCGGAAACGGAGGAGAAGTTGCTGGACCCTGGCAGCCTGGCAACCTTAACGCAACATGGCAGCATTGTGCTTTTTGCCAAAGTGGATTCCACCCGAAATTGCACCCAAAGATTTTCCCGAAGAATGACAGTATCAGGAGTGGTACCAGCGCCTGCTTTAAGAAGCAGTCCGCTTGTGAGAACAGTCAGCCCTTCAGCCAAGGCAACTTGCAGAGCAAGCACTACAAGAGGCAGTTGTTGAGATTGAGTGATGCACCACAGCACCACAGACCTGAATCCTTCGCCCGGTGTTCATCCGGGCAGCGACCGGTATAGGAGTTCACCTGACGTGCTCTGAATGACAATAGACGAGTCGCTCTGGCGAAAGATGACCAGTCGCGACTTCTACAGAATCATTAATCGTCAGCCAGGCATTTCACCTCGAAACCTTGACTTGTTATGTGCTTCTGATATGTGCAGACCTTTGAGACTCTAGTGACCAGTATCTCTGTTAGACGAAGTCCGGCTGATTGAGTAAGCTTGTCTGCAGGATCGGCCTAAGTTCGCGTACAGCTAAAACAGGCAGCCAGCTAAAGGCACGAGTATTATCAAGGCGCGCAGCTGCTGTGCGAGCGAGGTTGCAAAGATCCCAAACTCCGTGACGCTTGAATGGTGCACACAATCTAAGTCGATGTATACAAAATCTTGCAAAGCCGTCCATCTTCTAGCCGGCTTCAGATAATTAGTGATGTTTGTTTGTTCAGATCTAACTGGGATTGAAGATGTGCAGACAGTAATATTCTCGAATGCACCTTGTGCCTTACTGGAGGTGTCAAAAGTCTCCGAACTCTCCGCGCGGCTTGGCTCATTGCAGAGGCGGCGGTTCTTCATCATCTCTTTAAGTGGGTCTTGGATCGCTTGAAAACTGAATGAGGGAACCTGGATCTCTTGCTGCTCTTGCAGACGAACCTGCGATATTAGGCGTCTGACGGAGCGACAAGCTGCCATGGAGTCGCAATCCGAGGATTGCTGCCACAAACTGCACTATGGCAAGTAGGTCATGATTGATCTCCCCTTTTTGAACTGTGCTTTGAGGAGTTCGGCCGAGCTCTGCTCAGTCTGCTGAGTGACTTTCAGGCAGGCGATGCGTCTTGTGCAAAGTGAAATGCCAACTGCTGTGGACGTCGTTGAACTCAGTGGTTTCCGCTTGCTTGGCACTTGCACATGTCAGAGCCTGGGACTCTGCGTCGAAGCGCACATTCTAAGACCATCACAGCATGCAGCTGGGTCGAAAATCCAGACACAGGGAGGGCTTCAACGTCCCTTGTTGAGCCTGCATATGCAAAAACGGGGAAGGACACCTGGTAGAATGATACCGGGCTTCAGAGACATGTACATCTGCATATAGATACGCATGCAGGTGCATATACGTGTGCATGTACGCATGTTTGCATACACGCATGCATGCATCCCTACATACATGCATACACATACATGCATACCTGCGAATCTGCATGTACGCATACCCATCTGCCTGTGGTCGCACTCTGTGACTTGATGAGTGAGAACCACGAAAGCAGCTCAACGGTGCCGAAGCTCAAAGGTTATATCAAGGATCTTCGACTTCATCTCATGAAAGTCCAGTGGCTACATCCATCATGCGGAACTCTGCAGTTTTGCAGGTCCACAGTGCGCAGGCAGAGAAGAATTGGGCTTCTTTCGAGGAGGTCCATTGCTGGTGCTAGTGGTTGCTACTGCATTACCTCGAATGGGACACAGTTCAACTTTGACGCAGACACTGCACGCTTCTTGACGCAGGCATTAAGCCGAAGAGCGGCGCATCCCAATGAGGCGATATTAGCATCAGAAGTTGGATGTACCTCGTCGTAGGCTATTCGCGACTCCGCCTTTCAGCAGTCAGCAAGCGAGCCAGTGTTCAGACATCATCATCAACGCTTCGACACAAACTGTCCCAAGTCGTCATGCATTCAGGGACCTTTCACTGCACGAGCTGACTGAAAGATGATTTCATCTGCATCTTTCGTGAGGATTCAGAAACACACGCCGGTATGGTGCAGATTGGGCTCGCGACTGCTGGATGCATTTCCACCCAGCGACCGGCATGAATTGCAAGGGACAAAGCATCCCAAGAATTCGACTGGCACGCAAGCTTCGCCAATCCTCATGCATCGAATGCCGCTGCCGCGTGCTTTGCATCACGAGGCTTCCGGGCTTCCGGCCGCGGTGGTCCGGTGATTGACTGCGCATCTACCAGACATGGGCCGCATGCACAAACAAAGCGCGACATCGGTCTCTGCCCCAATCCAGTTGCGAGAAGTTCAGACGCGTTGTTGTTTGCTGGCCTGTGTATCTGGTCCTGCTCTCCTCTCTGTGTCACCTCCCAGTGTTCTGTGCCAATGTGGGGCGACTCGAGCCTTTTGGAGACTCCTTCAGAGCTTCCACTCACATCTAGTATGGTTGGAAAGCAATCGTCCCATTGCTGCCAGTACGGCACAACTAAAGCCACTGGACAGACATCCCACTTCTGCATACAGCCTCCCACTTCATGAGGCACATTGGCGACAAGCGTCTTGGCGCACGCAGCCGTGCCGAGTTCCTGCGGCAGCAGATCCTCAGGGGCTCGCAGGCATCCGACAGGGTTGCCAAAGTTGGGCTAAAGTTCCGTTCCAGCCCCCAGCGTCCTTGTTCATGTCTTCACGCTTCATGTTGGCAGTGTTTTTGCTGTCGCAGAGCTCCCCTGCCAGGAGGAGACAGTACTTAGGGGCAGCGATGCCTTTCAACAGCGCAGCGCCCCAGGACAAGATTGACAGCGGTTTGTCATACGGTAATCGGTAGGGACTTCGGTTCGGGTCGTCACAGAAGAATGGGGGGGGGTGCCAAAGACATTCAAAGGACCGATGGAGTTGAACTAGGTGTTGCAGGGCTTGCCACTTGCAGGTTGGAAGGTGTGGATGCACAGCTTAAGGTTTCTGCCGCTGCATGTTGAGCCTCCTGGAAACCCAGCAGAGAAGGTCGAGAATCCTGTGCAGGCTACACAGAAGTGGACAAGCTCCAGCCCGAAGGCGTCAAAGGCACGCAAGCATCGCACTGCTGTTGGAGCTCAAAGGGCATGGAGAAAAAGGAGACTTTGGCGTCCCTGTCCTGCAGGTCGACCGAAACCACCATCGCAGCAATCACCTCAGCCGCAGAACAGCCGTTTTTCCTGCATGACCATGCGTCGATGTCTTCTGCAATAGCTGAGGCTGCATTCGTTCGTTGGCGTAGGTAGACATCTGTTCTTGCAGCATCTCACGCTCTCCTGCGCCCGAGGTTGATGGAGGGAGCTGGTTCAGAGGACGAGGTTCCGATCGGGCTGAAGAGTCTTCTCCCGAAGCAGCAAATCTGAAGCGAGTTACGTATCTGAATCATAGAAGACATATTATCTCTGCAAATCACCCTGGGCTGACCCAGAAAGCTCCAGGCTTCTTCAGCGGAAGAGTCCTCCGGAGCAGAGCAGGCGGGGGGGGACCTGAAGGTGCGAGTGATTTGAGTGCGGCTGCAGGTAGTCTCCTCTGTGAGCTCTCTCAGGAGGCCGCCGCAGTAAGCACTTCAGACGCCGAGCCTGGCACGCGTGGCCCCAAGTCTGTGAGACCCTCTCTGAGTAATTTCCCGTCTCACCATGTCTTTGGGGTGTCTCTGCAGCTGTCCTCTGTCAAGTTGAGCATTGCCCCCAGCAGAGCTGCATGGGCAACGAGTGTAGCAGCTGTGAGGACGAGGACGATTCCGCGGCTTGCGATGTGAAGCAGCCAAGCCATGCCGACGCCTTGAGGCAGACGGAGAGGCTCAGCGCAGACTCAGAGGCTGCGGTGCTCGATGCAGAGTCAGTGCCTGTGCTGGGCCTGCAAGGCTGCACCGTGGTGAAGCCCAAATCCACAGATTCCTTGGCTCTGAGCCCCGAGGATCAGCTCGACAGGGCCGGAATGCTCGAGGTAGACTTTGAACTACTCCGGGCAGTGCCCTTGAGCAAGTGCTTGCAAAGGGCAGGAAGACTTTGGTCCAAGAACCCTGCGGATATCACCCACGCAGAGCGGGTTGCCTTGAGCAAGATGGCGGAAGCAGCAGAGTCCTTCGACGTCTTCATCTCTCATAGTTGGACCTCACCGGGACGCTCAAAGTTTCTGTACCTGTTGTTGCGAGAAGGAGTTTCGTCAGCACTGTTATTCTGGTGTATCGCGGTTGGTGTGGCCATGCTCCTTTGCTCTGTGTCTGCACTCCCTATGCCGGCCGACTACATCATTCAGATCCTTCAGTTTCGTGATCCCGCCCCTTTCGGCTTTTGGGTCTTCGGGCCGAGCATGATCGCTACGGCAACCGGGCTGGCGCTGGCTCCTTACATGCCAGCCAGGCATCGCACGAAATGCTTCGTGGATGTGGTGAGCATCAACCAGGCGCGGATATAAAGAAAGAGCAAGTAGTGCGCAGACCCTCGAATTGCTTCAAACCTCCCGACAACCCCTAGAACAAAGCAAGATCCTAAGACTGTTCCGCATCCCTGCAAGGCAAATGAGGAGCTGATGCAGCGCGGGATATACAGCATAGGTGGCTTTCTGAGCGTTTCCCGAGAGTTGCTGGTCTTGTGGTCCCCACCATACTTGTCGAGGCTTTGGTGCGTGCCTTGGGCTGATGGAGCAACATCGGTGACCAGGATAGGAAAGTTAGTCGAGTCAGGCTCGCCCCCAGTGAGTCCGGAACAGGCAAACGCCCAGGTAAGCATGTCGGGATCGGCCCCCGCGCATCCCCGCACGCGAGTCGGGTTTAGGGTTTAGGGGGTTTGGGGTTTAGGTTGTTCCTGACTGCGCCCTCGCGTTCTGGCCGACTCCACCTCGTGCCATTCCTGACTCCTGCTCGTTCTCGTTCCTGACTTGGCCCCCGCCTGTTCTCGACTCGTGCGTCCGACGCGCCTCTGACCAGGATAGAGTGTTGTTCCTTCTTATCTCGGTCACACATCCTTGCGAGAGTTGAAACTGGCCGCGGGGTTTCGATCAGATTTCTCAGGTGTTCGAGCTGGCAGCATACCGTCATGCCAACCCACATGGGAAGATCACCCTGGTCCCATTATTCATGGCAAATGTCATCCTGCTGCTTTTTTTCAGCATGTTTGCCCTCGGAGGGGCAGTGATGGCAGGTATTCTTCTCGGCACTGCCGATCCGGGAGGCAACTTAGGATACTTTGGACTTCTTTTTGCTGTGCTTTGCCCACCTGTGAGCTGGGCTGCACACATCATGCGAAGAAACCTCTACGAAAAGCAGACCCTCTTGGAAAGCTTGCAGGAGTACAAGCTGAGTAACAGCCTCTGCCGCATGGACTTCGATCGTGCCTATGTGCACAAGGCCATAAGTACATGGTACGGCAGCATTGCAGGCTTCGAAGAGTACGTACAGGGGCCCTTGCAGCGCGAGCTCACTGGCAAGTCTTATCGGCTCGTACTTCCCTTCAACTTGAGGTTCTTGATTCTCCTTCCTGTGATTAATGTTGGTGTCGAGGAAGTCCTGAGCCTTGGTGTGGCGGGCGCTCCGTTCGAATGTCTTCTCTGCCAGCTCTTGGGACAGTCACTGGCTGCGAATATCTTGTGGGGGAATGTTTCCATAAACCTGTTCGTCACTCTTTGCGAGCGCCTCGCCAGTCCTGCACGGAACGTGGGTTATGACTGTCTGAAGTCTGTCTGCATCTACCTGGCCTTCATGGGAACACTGCTTGGTGGTAATTTTGTTTCATTGATGACTCGTGAGACACACATCTGGGCAGTAGTGGCCTGGAGTGCATTTGCAGCATGCGTCTTCTTCTGCACTTCGAGGGTATAGCCAAAGGGGTCCGTGGAAATGGCTCGACGACTTCTCGACATGTGGACAACCGGCTTCTCCGCCAAAGGTGGACAAGGCTGTGCTGTGAAGATATAGCTTTGTTTCAGGTTCGTGACCAGAACGTGTATTGTTTTCGCAGATTCGGCAGGATGCCAGGCAATTGCATCGTCCGACTTTCTGTATGTTCTAAACTTACTCGTATTTAAGGTGCTTGGCCGTAAACCGGACATTCCACGTATTTCCGAGCGTGAAAAGTGCGATTGCTGATGAAGGCACGAGGGATATCTGAAATCTTGTTCTAGAGACGAAGCAAGAAGTTTCACATGCTCAGGCCTGTCCATGGCCCCCGGAACGCACCGAAATCCAAGCGGAGACGACTGGCGCTGGGAGGCAAGATTCGGGAGAGGTGTGCGTGTTGCAAGCAGACGTGTTGCGGAGCATGCAACCACGTGCATCGATAGCTCTGCCACTATTCGCACATCGCACATAAGTGAGCAGCACACAAATGTGGTTGGTTGAGCCAAATGCGGATTTCTGAAGGTTAGATTCCTGGCAGAATTTGCACAGCCACAAGAGCCGCCGTCATGGGTTCTTTGGAGGTTTTGCAGGCGGAATCGCTTCGCCGCCAGCTTGCTCCGAAAATTGTCTCTCCATACACACTGATCATCTGGCGACGCCTCAGAAACAGCCAAGCTTGCCACTCTTCAGGCGTTCTGCTTGCAAAGGTATTGACCTTTTGCCTTGTTTTTTCGGCAAGTAAAGCAGTGAGGAACTCGATTTACTCAGAGTTTGCAGAGTCTCACCTAACAAACTCTGCACCAACAGTCAGTCACTTCGTGGCTTCGTGCATCTGGCATCTACCCGAAAGCGTGCTCCAGATATGTTGTGTATGTAGGTTGTGGAATCTGCTGTTCGCACTTCCTGCAGGTGGCAGCACTGCGCCATCGAGCGGAGGTTCGGCTCAACTACTTGATGGGTTCTCGGGTCCGTCCTGCTTCACATAGGGGCCTGTGGATGCTTTTCTATAGTTTCAGGAATAATCTGAGACATGTCAGTGACATCCCTTTGCGCCGATATGCTCAGACTTCTGTAGTGCAGAGTTGCCATGATGCGGACATGCCCCCATCTACTTCAGAGCTTGAGGGGTCTGGGAGCAGACGGGGATGGGATCTGAGAATCTCGTGAGCCCAGACCAACCTGCGATTTGGCCGGACAGGAGACGTCGTCGTGGATTTCTTCTGACAGACAGCTGTCCACAGAAAAGATCTCACGTCCGTGTGAATGACGGAATAGTTGGACATCTAACTTGCCAATTTCGTGAAACGAGAACAATCTTGAATCTGAAAAGTCTGAGTTGCTGCCTTTGTCCTTTCGAATGCAATCAATTCTGAGTGTCTGCGTCTGTTTTAGTAGATCAGAAGATCAAACATGAGTATCATGACGGAACCATAACAGATTATGCAGATGCATTCTGATTCTGTTCAAGTTGAAAAATATTTAAAAATACAAAAAATGCAATGTTATCTCCCGCATTGCAAGTGTTATTAAAAGCTAAAGCAGATCCGATAGACTCAAGAAATCGATGATTTTTACTTCTATTTTCTTAAACGAAAGGAATACGGTTAATTTATTACTACATTTTAATGATAATACTCAGACTAAATAAAGGACCGGATAACCCCGCATGAGTGGATATCTGTGGATGGTGATAAACGAGGTGACCATGCCTTGAGAGCCTTCCAGAGTAGTGTGTGCAGTGTTGTGCTGTGCTGTGCTGTGCGTGGCGTTGTGTGTGTTGCGTGCTGCATGGTGTGTGCGTGTGTGTGTGTTGTGTGCTGTGTGTTGTGTAATGTGTTTGTTGTGTGTTGTGTGTGCTGCTGGTGACGTGGGTGTGGTATGGTGTGGTGCATCATACCGATGATTCTATATCTCTATACTTCTATCTCACTCTGATACTATATTCTGGTTCTGCGACTCTACGGTTCTATGTCTCTGATACTATCCGACTTATTTATATCTCGGTATATAATTTTTCTTTTTAACGCTAGGGCGGTAGTATGGTTATGGTTTTCGTAGAAATCTTCTCAGGGATTCATTGGTCGAAAGTCGAAATATATGGGGAAATGATTCTTTTTCGATATTCTTAGGTGTTATTCGTAATTTTTCATAGGGATTCGTACGTGTCGAGTGCCTAAATATATGAGAAAATAATACTTGTAGGTCGCTACGCATAATTCTTCTGAGGGATTGATGTGATCGAATAGTGAAATATATGGGAAAATTACTATTTTT